TGGCCGCTGAGCCTGCGCGTCCGGAGCCTGTTGCTCCGCAATGGGAGAGGCCACAACAGTGAGAGGCCCACTTATCGCAAAAAAAAAAAAAAAAAAAAAAAAGAAAGTACTCAATCTGAACATCAGATGGAGAAAAAAGATTAAAAAACGAACAGTGTCCCAGAGACACTGGGACAATAACAAAAGGTCTAACATTTGCTTCTGTGAATTTCCAGAAGAGGAGAAAGAATACAGGGCTGAGAGACTATTTAAGAAATAAAGGCTGAAACCTTTTTAAATTTAGTTAAAATATATATATATATACCTACAGATTCAAGAAGATGAGCGAACCCCAAACAAGATAAACCCAAAGAAATTCATGCCAAGCACTCCAAAATCAAATTTCTAAACAGTAAAGGCAAAGGAAAATCCTGAACACAGCCAGACGGAACTGATGCACTACCTACCTGGGAACAAGCTGAACGTCTGGATTTCTCATTAGAAGTAACAAAGGCCAGAAGGAAGTGGTACAAAATGTGTCAAGTGCTGAAATAAAAGGACTGTCAAGCCAGAATTGCACATCCAGCAAAAAGTATCCTTCAGGACGAAGGTGAAGTAAAGACAGTCTTAGATGGAGGAAAATTAAGAGAATCTGCAGCCAGCAGACCTGCGCTAAAAGGACTATTATTAAAGGAACGTCTTCAGACAGAAGGGAAATGATACCAGGAGGAAGCTTGGAACACCAGGATGAGGGAATAGTTTTAAACGTGTTTGACGGCTGAAAGCAAAAGTTCTAACACTGTGAGGGGGGTTTCAACCTAAGTAGAGGCTCTGGGTGGGGCTCTGAGCGGGGTGGGCGGGGCTCCCAGGTTGCTGGCCCAGGCACGCACCTGTCGCAGTTCCCTGCTGGAGGCTGCCCAGGATCTTCTCGCCGGAGAGGTGAGTCAGCCGAGTCACAACCTGGGGGCAGAGAAAGAACAGAGACCTCAACCACACACTTTAAACCATGACGCCAAGCAAGGACCTTAGACCGGGGTCCCCAGCCCCCGGACCGGTAGCGGTCCGCGGCCTGTTAGGAGCCAGGCCACACAGCAGCAGGTGAGTGGCGGGCTAGCGCAAGTGAAGCTTCATCTGCCGCTCCCCGTGCTCGTATTACCGCCTGAACCATCCCCCCAAAACTCCCCAGTCCATGGAAAAATTGCCTTCCACGAAACCAGTCCCTGGTGCCAGAAAGGTTGGGGGCCGCTGCCTCAGACCCACGGTGTCAAGACTGCCACGGCTGTAAACCGCTCTAGGCAGTGGAAGGTGATGCGGCTGCTGTCTGGTCGCAGGCAGGTGTGGGGCACGTGGCCTGGGACCTTGCCCGGGATGGCCTCTCCTCTCATCCCCAGGCGGGAAACACGGGGCAGCACCAGGAAGCCACGACTGCCCGCAGGCAGACCACGAGGGCCTTCCCCAGAGCTGAGGGTCATCACGTGCTGCTGAGTGCCTGGTCCGCTGGACATGGGCTGCTTTACATGACATCCAGGAAGAATTACCTTTTAAATATAATAATGCTATTTTGGTTATATTCTAAATTTTTAGAGTTGCAGACTCAAGTATCTAAGGTTGGAATGTCAAAATACCTGTAATTTACTTTTAAGGGCTTTTGCATGAGTAAAGTGAGTTAAAAGTTTTTTAATTTGCTAAAGTTTGCAAGATGGGAGAGGATGTACTGTACAGGAAGCCTGCTTCTGTGGCTCTTGCATGCAGTACGGATCACTTTCGAAAAGAGAAGCCGCTGTCAGCTTCAGTAACCCTAAGTATCTTGGAGCAAGGTGAAAGCAGTGATGAGGTGATTCCGACACCAGGCGCTGCCTCTGCAAGCCTCAGCCGCCGGCTACTTCCTGGCCATCTACAGCCGACAGCTCTGGGCTGACTACGCAAAGAGCAGGCCCTGAGACCTCGTGCTACAGCATCCGGTGTCCCCAGCCCCTGCCGGCCAGCCCTCCACCTGCAAGCTAACTTGGAGACCCTCTCTTACCCCCAGGACTCTGGCGTCAAAGACCCATGGAAGACGCAAGTGAAACTGTCCAAATTTTAGGACGTGAGACAAGACGTAGTTTGAGCAGAGTGGTCCAAAACAGAAGCTGAAAAGAAGTCTGGTTTATATACAACTAACCTAGCATCAAACTATTAACTGGAGCTAATTTTGTTTGTTTGTTTTGTTTTGTTTTTTTTTGCGGTACGTGGGCCTCTCACTGTTGTGGCCTCTCCTGTTGCGGAGCACAGGCTCCCGACGCGCAGGCTCAGCGGCCATGGCTCACGCTCAGCCGCTCTCCGCGGCATGTGGGATCTTCCCGGACCGGGGCACGAACCCATGTCCCCTGCATCGGCAGGCGGGCTCTCAACCACTGCGCCACCAGGGAAGCCCAACTGGAGCTAATTTTACAAACCACATTTTATTATGGAAAATTTCAAAGATACACGAAAGTAGAGAGAAGAGAACAGTGGACCCCCCCTTCCCATCACCCAGCTCTACCCATCTTATTTCATACACATACCCCCCAAATTTTGAAGACAGTCCCAAACATAGCATTTTATCCAGTAATATTTGAACTCGTATCTCTAAAATATCACAACAATGATACAATTATCACAATTACAAATTAACAATAGCCCTAAATCAAAGCTACTTTTAAAAGTGATCATTTCTACATCAAATGAAAAAGGTTCACAACAGGCCAATGAACACATGAAAAAATGCTCAACATCTTTAGTCATTAGGGAAATGCAAACCCTAGCCACCAGTATAAATGATAGCATTTTGACATATTTTCCCACTGGATTAAAAGAAAAAGAAAACCATGCGATGCTGGTGATTTAGTATCGGAACTTCACCTCAGTGTGACCCAGGGAAACCCCTGTGAACTTGTTCAAACCTGGCACTGGTCTCACTGTCCAGGAGCCCTTCCATCTGGCCCAAAGGCTCCGGCCCTCTTGGTGAAGGCCTGCCAGGTGGATGACATGGAGGCCCCGCCCCAAGGAGACTGGACGAAAGCCACGCCTTTTCTAATTGTCCCACCAGGTCACCCGCAGACAAAGCGACACACGTGAGACCCGTACCCTGACGACACTGTGGTCTAGCAGCCCGAAGACCATGCAGGAGCTGTGCGAGGTCAGGGCCCACCCAGGGCCATGGCTGGGGTCGGGGCGACCTCATGCAGTCCAGCGTTCGCTAAGTGTCTGTGGCGGGAGCCTGCATCACCCACCAGCAAGCAAATAAACCAACAAGCCCTCAGGAGTCTGGGTCTATAGGTGCCCCCTGGCAAATGTGACTCAAGTCACAGTTGCAGTTGATATAAGTCACAGTTGATATAAGTCAACAGAGGCAGGAAACAAAGAGTTAGCTTCCAGCTGAATTAACACCTTAATTATTTTCTTAGAGTTAAAACTATTTACAGCCTGAAACCCAAAAATAAAGCAAGGGTGCTATTGATCATCATAGATCAATACCCAGCCACTGAGGGGTTCCAAGGCAGTGGGAGAGACATGGCAAGATGCTTGTGATGTGGGCTTCCCTGGTGGCGCAGTGGTTAAGAATCTGCCTGCCAACGCAGGGGACACGGGTTCGAGCCCTGGTCCAGGAAGATCCCACATGACGCGGAGCAACGAAGCCCGTGCGCCACAACTACTGAGCCTGCGCTCTAGAGCCCGCGAGCTACAACTACTGAACCCTGCGCACCTAGAGCCCGTGCTCTGCAACAAGAGAAGCCACAGCAATGAGAAGCCTGCGCACCGCAACAAAGAGTAGCCCCCCGCTCACCGCAACTAGAGAAAGCCTACGCACAGCAACAAAGATCCAACACAGCCAAAAATTAATTAATTAATTAATTAGTTAATTTTTAAAAAGTGCTTGCAATGTGTCTGGGGAAATGCAGAGGTAAGCCACCATGCGCAGCCCCTGTGCAGAAGCTGACACACCTGCGTCAAGGGCAGCTGTGGTCCAATGTGCCTTTTCCTCCAAAGAACAAAAAATTTAAATTTTGCACTCCGAAGGCCCATAGTTTGGCTCACCATGTTTTTCTCTGCAGCATGCTGGCCTACACAGGTGGCCTCGCCGCTCAGGGGGGAAGACATACAAGGAAATTTGCCTACGACGGTGGTGCAAAATGGAGCTGGAGGAGGCTTATCTGTGCACAGAGACACTCCTGAGAATAACCCAGATACTCCACTTGATTTCACACTGGAAGAGTACAAGAGGATAGAGGCAGCTGTAAAAAAAACTACCCATAAGGGCACAAAGCAGCAGCTGTGCTTCCAGTCCTGGATTTAGCCCAAAGGCAGAATGGATGGCTGCCCATCTCGCTATGAACAAGGCTGCAGAAAGTTACAAGTACCTCCAATGAGAATACATGAAGAAGCAGCTTTTCATACAATGTATAATGGAAAACCGTTGGAAAGAATCATATTCAAGTTTGCACTACTATGCCTTGCATGCTTTGAAACTCTGACAGCATACTGGAGGCCACTCAGAAAAAGCTTGGAATAAAGGTCAGGGAGACTACACTTGACAAACTTTTCACTCTTACAGAAATGGAATATTCAGGGGCCTGTGTAAACGTACCAGTGGTTCAAAGAAATGACAACTACTATGAGGATCTGACACCTAAGGATATTGAAGAAATTATTGATGAACTCAAGGCTGGCAAAATCCCAAAACCTGGGCCAAGGAGTGGACGCTTCTCATGTGAGCCAGCCAGAGGTCTTACCTCTTTGACTGAACCACCTAAAAAACCTGGCTTTGGTGTGCAAGCAGGCCTTTAATGTATATTCAACTGTAAAAATGCCACTGGAGAAATAAAATATGAATCCTATCTACATAAAATAAAATATAATAAAATAAAAATTGGTACTAACTTTTCAATGGAAAACTTAACAAATGTTAGAGAGGGCAGACCTTTAAGTGAAAACACAACAGACCCCCAGCCCTGCCCCACCCGGGGGCTTTCACCAAATCCTGGATGCAGACCTCCAGCCACCCATCCTGTACCACATAGATGCTGGTATCTGGCTCCCCTGGCCGGAAGACGTACTCCCCTTCCAGAAGCTACACAAACACCATGTGTTTGCAAAATTCCAGGAACAGTGGCTTCTCAAAGTGACCCAGGACCCTACAAGAAACAGTGCACGTGGGACACCTACAGGAAGGAGGGGAGAAGGGACACAGGCCACAGTCCCTGCCGGCCAGACCACAGAGCGAGCTTTCAAGAGCTGCAGAGCCCATAGCACAAGCACCAGCAGGACAGAAGCTTAAGCTTCAGGAATTTCCATCAGCTACTGTTCCATGAGCTCAGAGAACTCTCAGGCCATGAGCATGAATTTGAACCAGATGCATAAACGAGGGCAGGTAGTGAAGCGCTGGAAAGAGGAGTCGGGGCTTCCAGGGAGAAATGGGGAACCAGACTTGCAATTTTCCATCCAGCCACACGCTTCCCATACTCGCTCCATGTCGCCCTGAAGGTGAACACTCTTGATAAGCAGACAGACACACGAAAGAACCGGCGAGGAGGCTCCACTCACCACTGGGAGGGCAGCGATGGCAAGAAGACTTCCCAAATGATGAAAGCAGTGTTCACATGTTGGGGTCTGGGGAGGGCATTCTGGCTTACACATGAGTTAACTCCCACTTCATGCTCACTAGATAGAATAGCCTGTTGTGGCTGATCAAACACACATTGTATGTCTGCTTAATTATTAAAGGGGACATTGGCCAGAAGTAAAGAACATCCGGGGCTTCCCTGGTGGCGCAGTGGTAGAGAGTCTGCCTGCCGATGCAGGGGACACGGGTTCGTGCCCCGGTCCGGGAAGATCCCACATGCCGTGGAGAGGCTGGGCCCGTGAGCCATGGTCGCTGAGCCTGCGCGTCCGGAGCCTGTGCTCCGCAATGGGAGAGGCCACAACGGTGAGAGGCCCGCATACTGC